CAAACTGCCAGCACAGTAACATTTTGTCAGTAACACTTTGCTATGTTTTTCAGTATTAGCATTTTTTGGACATTTACCATAGTAATATCGTGGCATTTTTGTAAGAACCTTGGAATAATATGTAAATAATGTTACTGTCAATATCATTGTATATTTCTGTACCATAGTACAAACATCGTACAAAAAAAGTATTGTGTCAGTACTATACTTATGCTGTAATACTGAAATTCATGAATTTGGTCTTTACATGGTGCTCCAAGGTACTTCCAGAACCAGCATGGTACTTTTTTTGTAAGCATATGCTGGTACCAACGCCAAACCAGCACTAACTAGCAAAAGTCTGGACTAGTATGGAAGTCCAGCAGGGTCGGAGGGTATTTCAGTGTTGTTCACTGTTTTTTATATTATCTCACAGTACATTTTGCCCTCAGAACCTCAATGAAACAAATGTTTCAGTGAAAAGACATATGGGCCTGACAGCATCTGACTGGTGTCGTGTGATCTGTCTCAAACTGTCCTGCTTCAAATTGCCCAAGTTCTCTTTTGACAAGCCTGCCAATGTCTCTCACACCCTCTCTGCCAGTCTTACACCTTAGATTCAGGGCTCAGGTGCCTCAGAGAGCACGGAAATTGCATAGAGAATCAAGAGACGTCATCTGATGTCCAGAGACTTCACTTCCTCTGGAGGACACCTTTCTGGCAGATTGACATTTTCCTAATGGGACCGATGAAGGAGGTGAATGAGGGTCAGACTGAATAAATGGTCCTGCCCAGATCTCAGACACATCTAGCAAATCCGTCTGTCCATGATCGTTAGGCCAAAGCTGACTGCTGCTTTACTTTACCCCTTCCACAGGACCCTAGTACTAAATATCAACACAGATGAATGTTGCATATCAACACTAAAGTGTCAGTGCTAAGTTTCCACTTGTATGGCTGTGTTTGGATTAGCATGCTAGCATACTACATACTAGTATGCAAATTTGTGTACAGTTTCATATACTACTCGTATACTGTTTTTAGTGATATACGCTACCATTTAAAAATTTGAGGGTTGGAAAGATTTTTTAATGTCTCTTATATCAGGCTGCATTTATTTGATCAAAAAGTATTTACAATTTACAATAAATGTTTATTGTAAGAATCCTGAATGAAATGTATTATGGTTTACACAAATATATTAAGCAGCACAACAGGAATATATATATACTGTATATTTCTGTTGTGCTGCTTAATATATTTGTGAAAACCATAATACATTTCATTCAGTATTCTTTGATGAATAGAATGTTCAAAAGGGCATCATTTATTATCCATTTACTGTAATGCATCCTAGCTGAATAAAAGTATTACTGACCCCAAACTTTTCAACAATACTGTATATACAGTATGTACAAACTTGAGCAATAATCAAACACACTCACCTAAACTGGCTCTCTTATCTGTTTGCTCACTTAACGATTCATTTTAGTGAATTGATTCAAAAATGATTGAATCATACATACATATTTTATGAGAATGAATAAGATTAATGAGATATCACTGCTTACTGTATACACTGTTGACTATATAATGTGTATTATTTTATATTTGCCATACATATATATGTGTATACAGTGTGTATGTGTATGTATTGCTACCTTAAATGTTCATTTTTATTTGTAGGTTAGGTAGCTGTCAAGTGTCAAAGTAGCTTCCTCAGCACTGGAAATAATACAGAACGAGTAGGTGTGTTCAAACTTTTGACTGGTATGTGCTTTTTAACTTTTTTCTATGCATATATTTCACTATGTCTTGGTGTTTTCAGACCTGGTGATTAAATGATTGAAATCACAAGCACTTACATTTAATACAAGAGCACAACGGCACAATCCAAGTGTGGGTGTGAATCAGTCTCTGAGTGATTCTCGATTCTCTATAAAACACCTCTTCATGGTGGCCCTTTCATGATAGAGTTTCTGCCCACACACGGGTGATAAAGATGGAATGATCCTTTTGTTGTCCTCGTGGCTCCTTTGTAGCTTCCTGCATCTCACCTTCCCTCCGTAGCCTCTGTCTCTTTGCCAACGTAGGTCCAAGGACATCTCTGAGATGCAAGTTCTGATAGGCTTACACGGACTAGTTTTATTTCCATTCGACCTTGATCTTTAGTAATGGCCTATCAGGTTCTTTGTATATTAATAAAACAGCGTTATTTCTCCAAAATCCCTTCTGCTAAATTCAGCAGCCATCCCTGGCTTCTTTGATATTCAGTACCAAGGCTGCATTATCTTGGTACACTGGATGTTCAGAAGGATTTCATGTGAGGATTCAGGAGGAAAGGGAAGGGGGAACGGGAACAGGAGATGCATCTGATCAACTCAAGTCTTTGCATAAATTAACATGAACCCTGGGAATTGTGTTTATTTATTTATTTCCTCCCTTACCAGGTTTAATTAAGGTTCAAGCAATGTCTTTGGGATATTTGTCTGATGGAACACGAGCCCACCCTCCCGCTCTCCTACCGTTTCCAAATCCGGTCCATCTACTGGGACGCCTATTTGTGAACTCTTTCTACTGTCTTGAATTTCATGTCAGATTGCAGCAAACCAGAGCAGGGAAGAGAAGGTGAGGATAAAACGCAAGTCTTATCTTTTCACATATTTCACATACTGCGCAAAAAAAAAAAAAGAATCTTCACAGGGAGAATGATTGTGTCTCATTATGTTCACTGACATGTGGTGTGCTGTACAGCACGATGCCTCCTAAACATTACTTCTTAGCAGGAAAGGGGCTGATCAAGAAAAATGTTCACGAATGTCATCAAAGCAGCAGGAAAAAACAACTGAGGAATATGTTTTCATTGTTCGGTCAGGTTATTTTTAGATGCGTTCTGCAGGAATATGAGTTGGTAGTATCGCTGGCACTTTGGATGAAAAGGCAAACATCATAGTCAGAGCGCACGTAACATCTCCTGGCAAACAAAATACAAAATAAAGAGGTAAACAGGGAAATTAACAGCGTACCTTAATTGCTTTAAACAAGTAACACTTCATCTTCTTCAATTAAGGATTCTTGGCTCATCTTATTATAGGCTATTAGCACTGATTATTAGCGCATGCTTGATGATGGAGGAAATGGGCCGTGATGCAGGAAGTGTCACCGGTCGTAGAGTCTGATCTGATTATCGTGCCCAACACCCACCAACCCGCGGACTCCATTTAGACGAGTACTCGCAGGGCAGGCCATGCCATGCCATTTTTATTATTTAAATGCTGCTGAAACGCATCCCAATATTGTGGAATGAATAAAATATCCCAGGACGATTTTCCACTGGGTATTAGCTTAACATTTCCACTCCAGCGCTCCTCTCATTGTGAAACACTGGAACATCAGTCAGCAATCTGATAGGCTGCTTTCTGCTTGTCCATTTGTCTACTTAACCCATCCCATTCCCTGTCACCGTTAAAACAATTTCCTCTCTGACATACCAGAATAAGTATTGATTGAGGGTTTGCATTACCGGAGGTTTGGGCCCTTCACTGCTGGACATTTTTATCATAGCTGTGTGAGCCAACTGATCACTGTAAAGGGGTCATCGGATGCCCATTTTCCACAAGTTGATATCAATGGCGGACTGATGACAGCTCACTCAGGGCGGGTCTAAGGTAAGACACCAGTCCAGTCTGTGCTGAAACACTACTGTCAATCAAACTATCATGGGAGGGGCCTGTTTTTGTGACGTCACACAGACAGGCATCTGAGATCGGCTCGATTTGAGAAAGGGGTAAAGATTTTAGTAGATAAAAAAAAAACACTGGGTGGATTTTTATCATTATAGGGTGGTTGTGTACACACTGCCAACACACATTTCAGTTCAAACAACTTGTAAAAGTGCATGTAGCATCCGATGACCCCTTTAACATATAGAACAACTAGTTTGAAATGTGCCATTTCTCTATGGACATTTATAAAAATGAATCAGCCGGGCTCACTTTTTTAGGCTAATCTTTGAAGTTTTACGATATTAAAATATGCACTCATGTAGATTTATATGGTGTACAGAAAGCATTGTATATCCTTCCCACTATTTGGGCAATAATCGTAATGATTTTAAAGATGTGTTCTGTTTGTCCACAGTCTAGAAAAAAAGTACCGCAGACACATAACTTGACAGAAGCATCTAGCATCGGTGACCGACTGACTGAACAAACATGCAAGTAATCTTACATTTTGTGGCTACTTGTTGAACATTGTTACCTAATTAATATTCATGAGCCAAGCTGATAAAGTTTAGAATATATTTATAATATACCCCTCCACTATCTGGTATAAATTGATATAACATTAACAGGTTAAACTTTTTTGCATAGGTCTATTCCGTGCATTAGTTGACCTACAAATTCCAGGACCATAAGCATTGAAATGGGCGAAAGTAAACATCTTCTTGATATGCAATAACATATGAATGTATGCATGCAATATTGATCAGAACAGTTAAAAAATTATATCTGATGAAACCTAAAGCATTGCCAAGTCTCAATGCCAAGACAGCGTGGAAGATCTTCAAGGCCTTGCAACTTCAGAGTGTCTTCATGAGACCCCAATTTATCAGTCCTACCAAGATGAAGGTTATGGTGCATTCATATTTCATAAGGTTATGTGAAATGACCACCCTGGAAGATTGAGTTCGTTCTGCAGGCTTGGTCTACAGGCTAGCACATGTGCGCTGGACACAAAGATGTCCGAAAAGTGTCAGCTTTGCTCAATAATATGAATTATGTGACATCAAATTTATTTATTTGAATGTGATAAAACAATATCAAATTCCTAAAATATGAAGATTTACTCCTTTATTGTGTTCTGATACCTTTCTCCCTCTCTTCTCCCATAATTTCCTGTAATTCCTTTACTCTTTCTCTCAATAAAATTACAGAAAAGCCTGAAAAATGAGCGATTAAACCATAAAACAAGCAAAAGCTATCCATCAGTAACACAAACACTGTGTTGTGCATCATTACCTTGCTGGTATGTCGATATTGGAGATGGCGTAAAAGTACTTGAGCAGGTTGTCTCTTTGTACGTATGTTCCTCCGAGCGCCGGTCTCAGCAGCCGAAGCCGCAGGTTTGTGAAGGTGAAAAAGTCTCGGAGGCCTTTCATACTCTCCATGCGTGTGTATAAGTTGTCCATGTTTTGTAATTTTGTCCCAGAAAATATGGCAAAGCGTTCCTGGACCTCGAACCGCACATTCTTCTCATTCTTGGAACCGACCCAACGAGAGTATTGCTCGGTACATATGACTCTAGTCACGTTCGTGGCCGACAGATCCTGCACCCTCTTTGGTAACATCCCGAAGCCGTCCATGCAATCATCGGCGTAGTACTGATAAGGCTGCCAGGTTCGTCCATAATTCAGGGACTTGTCCAGCACCATTATTGTGGGCCGTCCGTACTCAAAGGTTATCTGGATGTCGTCTGTTAACTCCAGGCTTTTGTTCCAGGATAAGGATATGTTGGCCTGAAGAGGCTCAGGGAAACGACTCCATGTTACAGTCTGCCAGTACGTGATGAGTCCGGTTCGCTCACGGTCTTGCATCAACTCTGGAGGATGGGCAAGTTCTTTGGTGGAGGCATCGCATTCGTCACTACACAGGTATGGGTTTTCCTACAGACAAAAGTATGATAAAAGGTCAAATAAAGAGTGGTACAAAATTAAGGAAGGATAATGAAATAATAATAAAAAAGAAACATATATTAATTATTAAAATATATAGGGTTTGTTGCATGATTTTATAGCAAAACACTACCGTACAAAAGTTTGAGGTCAGTAAGACTTTTTTTTCAGAGAAAATAATATTTTTATTTGACAAGGTTGCATTAAATTCATCAAAAGTGACAATGAAGATGTTACAAACCATTTCTATTTCAAACAAATGCTGTTCTTTTGAACTTTCTATTCAAGAATCCTGCAAAAAAAATTGTATCACAGTTTCCACAAAAATATTAAGCAGCGCAACTGTTTTCAACATTGATAATAGGAAAAAAAAATTCAAATCAGCATTTTAGAACGATTTCAAAAGGATAATGTGACATCAGCTTTGCCATCACGGTGAATAAATTATATTTTAAAAGACAATAGAAAATAGTTATTTTACATTTGTAATATTTTTGATCAAATAAATGCAGCCTTGGTGAGCATAACATTTCAAAAACATAAAAAAATCTTATTGACCAATCGGATATATATATAAAAAAATAAAAATTTTAATGTTGATTTTAAATGCAATATATATTAAAAAAACATTAAAATAATTTTAATGTTGATTTTTAATGCAATATATATAAAAAAAACATTAAAATACTGTATATATATCATAAATTTTTGAAAAGAGGTTTTTATAGCTATTCATACAAAAAATTTTGATCAAATAAATGCATGAGACTTCTTTCAAAAACATTTTTAAAAAACTCTTATTCACCAAATTGTAGCATATATAAATTAGAAAAAAAAACATTTTAAAATATTTATTTTTTAATATATAAAAATAATTAAAATATATCCAATTTTTTTTCTTCTTCTTTTTTTTCGTGTTTTATATCTATCTGTCTAGATAACACCTTTCCAAAGTTCCCATCGCTACTGTAATTTCAGGGTTTGAACCTTTGCCCTAGTGACACAACAGGTGTACGGATTAGCCTACAGATTGCCATCTGGTCACCCTTGAACCCTTAATTCCCTTGTAAGTAAGCAACAGCCATCCCACACAACAAACGTTTGAGGAGTTAAAAGTCTCCGCACACGCTGCAGCCTCCAAAACTGACAGATCTATGTCCAGGGATAGTTATTGTTTTATAGCCGGCACACTTGAATGTTTCTCGGGCCAAGTGTCTTCATGGACCATTAGCTTCCATTAAGAAATAATTCGAGCTACCTGTCCCAACCATCTGGAGTACCTTAGCACTTTGATCCGTAACCAGGAAGCACCTTAGCCTAACTCAGCCCTCTGACTCAATCCTGCTGTATTTCTCCGTATCGTACAAATCCAGTCCAACTGCTGCGGCAGGTGGTTCTTAGACTAAACTTCAGCTATCCTCGCAGGAATGCCGTCACATCTAAAGAGCAGTGTGGCTCTAAGAGAAATGTTCGCCCACTGCTAGCAGCAGGAACCCGTGTCAGTAAACAGACAATACGACGGTTTGGTCTCCTCCGGTAGACATGTGTGGTTGTGTTGTCACTGGAGAATTCACAGCAGAGCTTGAAACAATGACTAATCATTACAGTGATCAGATCAGAACAATTACACAATTTATTGAGAAAAAAAAACACATTGTGAATACATATGAGTGGATTCAGGTGTCCAAGTTAAAAACATCTTAATCTAGATTAATCAATGTAACTTTTGTGGAGCGATTCAATGTATGTTCAGTTCACAAATACCCCATTTCTATTTTTGTTTTGAATTTTTATTCATAAATATCATATATTTAAATTGTTTGCTATGACATTAAAAAATGACATTATTCATTTTAAATATTAATTTAATATGAATAATAATTAATAAAATATACATGTAAATGGATGGCTGTGAATAATTGTAATTATTTATTTAAATAAAATAAATATCAAAACTGATATCAAAACTGTTTGTGATGGCCGAATCACATTCCATATTAAAATATGTATTCATATATTTTAAAATATTTTAGTAAACAGACTGTTGTGAATTTTACCAATTCAATTATTAATTATTCAGTTACATAATATTTATTTTAATAACTTCTATTATCAAAGCTGTTTGAAATGTCTGAATTACTTT